CACTGCCCGGGACTCCTCCTCTCCTCCTCCTCTCCTCTGTCTGCTTCCGCAGCCTTCTCCTCCAGCTGCGCTGCTCACGCCCGCAGCGGTCTGCACACGGCCTGCTGGGTACAGTCCCGGGCCCAGTCCCGGGCCCAGCCCCGGCCTGTGCGGGTGAAGAGGCGGAGGGGGTCTGCGGCCCAGCGCTGCTCAGGGAGGAGACCACAGCCCTTGCGGCGCCGAGACCCACTTCTAGGATGAAGGGCTCGGTGAGCTGGGGCTCCTGTGAGGCCTCAGCTGCCTCCTCTCCAGCTATGCTCTTCATTTTACTTAAGACAAAACTTGTTAAAGAACAAATTATACATCTGCTTTTCAAAAGCCTCAGATTTCTTATTTTTTTTGCAATATGGGGGCTTGGACCCAAGTCCTATGTGCTGAGCTAGCTGCAACCCCAGCCCTTTTTACTTCTGAGACAGGGTCTCACTAAGTCACTAGCTGCCAGGGTTTATACTTGTGATCCTCCTGCCTCAGCCTCCCACAGCTTCAGATTTCCCAAGGACCACACATACAGTGCTAAGTATTTTTGAAATGAAACAGCTCTGACAGTAGTGCTTTTATAATTTTGCGAAAATTAAGATGGGGAAAAAAACTCACTGAAGGATTAATACCTCCTTTTCCTGGCTAGAATATGGTGTAGCTTTCTTGATTTTTTTTTTCCTATTTCCCTTCTCAATAAGGGCAGAAAATGGGGGAAATACCACATGCACTTTAAAAGCAAGGACCCCTCCAACACAGAAAGATCCAAGTTACTAGCAAGAAAATGCAGGCCAGGGATGAGCGCATGGCACAGTGCTGGCCTGGGTTGTGAGAAGGCAGAGCCGACCGGGCGTCCACTGCCTGTGACAGGACCTCACCTTCGCTTTCTTTTTCCAAGAAGACTTTTGCTTCTCTTCTTCTTCCTCCATTAATTTGAGAGCCAGTTCTTTGTTAACTTTTGGCAACTTCTAGTAAAAGGAAGAGAAGAAAAGCCGTAGTACATTTTAGCTTCAAAGGCATTCGTGCTGTCAGGAGAGGAATCCCACAGCCAGGAGGTAACCGCGCCTCTTGCCCATGGGGACTCAGGGAGATGCGGTGCTGTCGCCATCTGTGTCGAGGGCGACTCGTGCTGAGGGGCAGGGGCTCCACCCTGTGGGTCCCCTCACACAGAGCCCGGGATTTCCAAACTGCAGCCACACGGAACACCCCGGGGCTCCCTCAGGGGGACCGAGCCAGGCGCTCTGGGCCACCTCCAGCCATGCTGTCGCTCAGTCCCTCCGGAGAAAACTCAGAGTATTACCCTCTGGCAGCAAATATACCACAGCTATGAGTAAGGCGCGTGCACTCAAAACACAAAAAATGAAAAGGAGGCCAGGTTTCTCTGGAATGATAGGTGAAATGCAAACGCACCGTTTCCAACGGTCACACCGCTAGTGCCGTTTACCTTTAACTGGACTCGCTGTGCCCGCGTCTCTTCTATCTTCTGCCGAATTTTATCTTTCCTGTACTCTTCGTAAGCGAACGGGTTGACCATCAGTTTCACCTTTTCAAAATGAACAACAAAGGGCATTTAGCATTTAGCAGGGCAGCCACGCCAGCCGCTGGGCCAGAGGGCAGCGCTGCAGCCGGCCTGCGCTTACCCTGTGATAGAGCTTGATGTCCATGAAAAAGCCGTGCATGTAGGCGCGGAGGAAGGGCGAGCCGATGAGGTGTGTGAGCCCTGGGGAGGGAAGCAGAGCAGGGCCTCACCCGGAGTGCACAAAACAGCCATTCTTCCCAATTTCACTCTGAAATCCCCAATCAGATTTCACTTTGAGCAAACATTTAGGGATTAGAATTACTAATTTGCAACATCTACAGAAAACATTCAATCTACTTCATTAATACCACCCTTAGCCAGTGGGGTGGCACACGGCTGTAACGCCAGCCCTTGGAGGCTGAGGCAGGAGGATCGCCGTGAGTTTGAGGCCAGTCTGGACTACATCGCAAGGCCCCGCCTCAAAAAAACCAAAACCAAAAACAGTATCACCCTTATTTATCATAGATAGCACACTAATAAAAATGATGAAAAAGTCTTCATGAGTTATGACAAACTGGTAAGGAAGGTTCTTTTTTTGGTACTGGGGATCAAACCCCTGAGCAGGAGGATTCTTTATATTAAGTTTTTAGATTTTGGAATTCCACCAACTCATCTAACTTAAAAAGCAATTGTGGGGCCAGGTATGGTGATACAGGCCATACACCAGCTACTCAGGAGGCAGAGGCAGAATGACTCAATGTTCAGTGCACCCCAGGCAACTGAGTGAGACCCTATCTCACAGTAAATAAAAGGTGGACACGGTTCACGCCTGAAATCCCAGCACTCTGGGAGGCTGAAGCAGGAGGATTGCAAGTTCGAGACCAGACTGAGTAACTTAGCAAGATCCTGTCTCAAAAAAAAAAAATCTGCAGGGGCCGGGATTTAGCTCAGTGGTACCACGCCTGCCTTGCAAGCACAAGGTCCCGAGTTTGATCTCTGGTACGGGGGTCGGGGGGGTTGTCTGTAAAATTTTTTAAAAGGCTGGAGATGCAGCTCAATGCAAAGGCTCTGGGTTCAAGCCCCAGTACTACAAAAAATAAAAATGAAATAAAACAAAACAGGCTGGGGCACAGCTCAGTGATACAGCAGTTGCCTAGCGTGCATGACATTCTGGATTCAGTCCCTAAAATCATCATAATTAAAAGGCAGTTTGGGGAGCAACAGTAAATGCAAACTTCACACTACCAAGAGGGAACTGGCCAGGGAGGGACGCAGAGACCATTCTCTCCTTTGTTTCCGAAGACAAGGACATCGTCACAACAACACCGTCAAAGGACACAGCGTCCCCCACATATCCACACGCTCCTACATGCGGGGCCACAGGGTCTGTACCGCTCTCCATCGCAGCCTTGTGGGCACCCAGCCCGGATGTGTCCGGCCTCACCCGGAGCGGCCGCTGCACTGGCGTCTTGCACACTGGTGGCGCCGGGCGCCGGGCCCGAGGAGTGTGCGGCCTCAGGACCGCTGCAGATTCGGGGAGCAGAGGGCACAGGGTCCAGGGCAGACACTGCACCAGGCATCTGAGGACAGAGGGAAGGGAGCGGCGCAGCCTTACTTCTGCCCTAAGATAAATGACTTAGAGGGCGGCACATGTGATGCCGAAATCTACAGGAAAGGGTGACCTGTTTAATATTAAAAGATAGAAATACACGAAGATGCTTTCTAGTGTAACTGCTATCTTGCTGATAAAACTATCTGTACAGATTTTATTTTTAATGGGCAGTGCGATTACCTTTAAACAAGATGTGCCTAAACTGCTTTTCTCATCCTAAGTAAACAGTTATTCTGAAAAAGTATCCAAAATATATTAAAGGCAGTAGTTTAAAAAACCTGCAAAAGCCAGGTATGGTGCTGCAAGCCTGTGATCCCAGCACTCAGGAGGCTGAGGCAGGAGGATGCCTATGAGTTCAAAACCAGGCTGGGCTACATAGTGAGACCCTGGCTCAAAAACAAACAAACAAACCTAAAATGAAAAGCAAAGCAAAACAAAAACACCACAAAATAACCATGACTCTCCCCTTGGGGCTGCCCTGGGGCCGTTGCTGAGGGTGCTGGGGTAGAAGGCGTTGTCACCCTATAGTCATCCAGCAGTCACCTCTCTGGGACGCGACACCTCTGTCTTTACAACATATTAAGTGGAAGAATTAATTCTGTCTGGATTAACTATGCTGAGATACAGATGATAAATAAGGTTCAGAACCGCTCAATTAACCTAATTGTACCGACTATTCTTTTAATAGTCCGCCGCTACTTTCATCTACTTCTCCAGCCGCACTGCCCAGACTTGTGGATAGGGACCCTGTGCGTTCCCACTCCTAGCCGAACCACATCAGTGGGGCCCGGCCGCGGCTGCCGCAGTGGGGAGGACACTCCCGCGGGCTGCGTCCCAGCCCAGTTTCCCTCTGCAGCGTGGGGCCGGGCCACGGCAGCACCTGCTGTGGCGGCTGAGAGCACGGAAGGGCAGGAAGTCACAACGGCCCTCTGGAAGCCCACACTAGTTACCAGTATCGCTCAGCACCTCCTCTGAGCCCTGTGGGCCTGAAGGTCGGGTTCCGGAGCTCTGAGATTTGGAGAACTTGTGTGGACTCCATGCTGCCACAGGCCAGGCCCCCGGAGCGTGAGGTCAGGAGGTGTGGAGCCAGTAAGGGGGTGCCCAGTGGAGGTCCTCAAGGCTCCTCCTTCTACTGTTTTTAGAAATGGGGTGGTTGAGATAAGGTCTCTTGCTATGTAGTCCAGGCTGGCCTTGCATCACAGCAATCCTCCTGCCTCAGCCTCCCCAGAGCTGGGATTACAGGCAAAGAAATTGTTTCTCTTTATAAACTGGTGACCTCAGGTGTGTGTCAGTGACGGACAGCTGACCGGCACAGTGGCAGGTGCTCACTCCTAATCCAGAAGCCAATGGCAAAACCGGAGACTTTGGAGTGGGTTGAGAATTCAATCCATGATTCTAAATTTTGGATCAGGACTTTCATAAGCGAAGCTAAAAGGGAACCAGAAACTATGGAGGTGCAGTCTCTGAGATATCTTCCCCTTCTACTCAAGTAGCGCTGACAAAAATTACTGCTTTCTTGACAGCTTTCTGTATGTAGCTAATAGGCTAAAAGAAATCACTTCTTGTCTCAGATACAGAAAACTTCAGGAAGTTGGATTTATCTTGATCTCTTCTCTAAGCAGAGATAGCAAATGTGACAACTTACAGTTTAATCCCTGATTTAGTGAAAAGATTGGGAAAATCAGAGAGATAAGGTTTAGCCAATTTTAGTGTTCAGAACGTGAAAAAAAAAAAAGGGAGGACATCACAATTTTTTTACCTAAGTTTTCGAGGTCTTTTTTGGTGACGAATTTGTAATCATCATAGACCGTGCTCTCCGGGTTTTCTTCTAACTCTTCCGTCAAGTTGTCCAGGAAAGAGCACCACCGGGGTGCGGGACCCAGGACCTGCAGGGTTCAGGGAGGTCAGCCACTCGTACTCTCTGCGGCTAAGATCCAGCCACAGCAGAACAAGGCTTACTTCAATCTAAAAAACAATTTTTTTGAGACAGGGTCTCGCTGTTAGCTCAGGCTGGCCTCAGACTCAGTGACCCTACTGCCTCAGCTTCCTGAGTGGTGGGATGACAGGTGTGCACCATCACGTACCCCCTTAGATCGAATTTAAGCCTTATTTCTACTAGACATATTGAAAAATAACTATAACATGTGTAATGAACAAGTAGGTAGTGGAAAAGAATAAACAAAGTAGGGAGAATCTAAGCATGAAGGGGAAACATTAGTGAATGTTCTTTCTTTCCTTTTTCTTTTCTTTATTTGGCAACAAGGATTGAACTCGGGCCCTTGCACTTTTGAGGCAGGCAGAGGAACCACTGAGCTAAATCCCCGGCCATCACTTGCTAAGTATACTCTGCACTGTAAGGCCTGCTTCATTTAGTCTGTTTTGTTTTGGTTTTGGTTTTTTGAGACAGGGTCTCACTATGTAGTTGAGACTGACCTGGAACTCACTGTGTAGCCCAGGCTGGTCTCGAACTCACAGCAATCCTCCTGCCTCAGCCTCCGAGTGCCGGGATTACAGGCGTGAGCTACCACGCCCGGCTTTCATTTAATCTGTTTAAAATTAGCATTGCTGACCTTAGCTGATAACAATGTATTTTATAGTCTTGAACGCCTACAGTTTAAAATCTTCAATGTCCTCCACAGGCAGTGCATGTTAGCGGGCGCGGTGCAGCCGTCACCATGACAGCGCATGTCTCAAAACCTGTGTGCAGCAACCAATACAGCGTGCACATTTTTTGTAGATTAAAAATGAACTACTTGGGCTGGGGACTTAGCTCAGGGGCACTAGGCCTGCCGGGCAAGAGCAAAGTCCCGAGTTCAATTCCTGGTACTGGAAAAAAGAGAGAGAACTGCTTGAAATTCTGCACATTCATGGACTTCAGGCCTGACCTACGGCAGATGGCCAGGACTCACGAGTTATCACAATGGAAGGCTGAGGAAGGGGATGGAACAGAGTTTATAACCGATGGCCCAAGCTGTGAAGAGTGAGGTTCATAACCCCCAGGTCCTACAGAAAGCCGAGCTGCTCCACATGTTTTATTGCTGCTCTCTTTTCCCACCGCAACAGTGCGCTGCTGACAGGAGCAAGCGGATCTCCGGGTGACATCGGGCCTGTCTGTTTTGGGAGTGATTAACTTACTCCAAAATTACATCGGAAAGCAGTCAGCCTAGCCTAACCCTTTGGGAGGAGGGTAGGTAGCAGGAAGCGCGTCATAACAAAAGGAAAACAGTCCGGTCAACACGCTCTTCGATAACAAAAAGGGGAGACGCCAGCTCTTCGGCAAGATCCCGCCTCCAGCAAAAGGTGCCAGGTGGTCAGAGGCTGAGGACGGAGCTCAGGGAGACGGGAACGAGGCTTGGTGGGCAGCGGGCCTGAGCAGCTTCCACACACGCCACTGTGCAGAGAGCAGACTCGATGCACTCAGTGGTTTGACCGGAACTGCAAAAGACAAAAGAAAAGGCACTTCGGGGCCGGGATGCAGCTCAGCGGCACCGCACCTGCCTTGTAAGCACAAGGTCCTGAGTTTGATCCCTGGCCCCAAAAAAGAAAAGGCACTGTAAAAAATTCAATGTAGACTACCTTTTCAAGGAATTGATGTGATTTTAAGCAATTTTTAGGACAGTAGCTTGAAGGAACAAATATTCATACGCAATGCTACCTCCCAGGAAGCACGGTGATGCGCCTCAGACCCCGAGCAGGACGGGCTCAAGGCGTCTGTACTGCGGGTCCCACACACACAGGGAGTGCAGAGTCCACAGGTGTCTCCGAATCGGGGAAGCAGCGTGCAGGACAGGGCCTCTCTTCCTGTCCCAGGATGGCAGCCCACCACCCATTTCCCAGAACATGAGGCCCAAGACACTGTCTTCGTGGGAAGTGGGAACCACATCTGTTTGGCTAAGCACCGAATTTCCAGTACACAACGGTGGCTGCCGAGGGGGGCTGCTCAATAAATGCCTGACCCTCCTCGGAGAGCGCCAATCTCAAGTACGCAGGGCGGAAGACGGAAAGGTCTTCGGGGAAAGCATTCTCAGACGGTTTACCTCTTCTTATTAAGGTAAAAGCACGTGTACACCCCACAAAGCTATCAGGTGGGAGAACAGGACCGTGAGTCGGGTCCATCTCCACTGTACACGACGGGGACCCCGGCTGCCCTCCAGCCGCTGGACCCTGTGGTTGCTCAAAGCCCAAGCTGGTGTCTGCCGATCACCTCTGCCCTCTCCCACCGGAGCACCGCTTAGCCTAGCATCTCCATGTTCAGGGCAGCTGCCATTTTCCCCGAGTATTTTCAACCTGGCTTCAGATCATGGGCGTGCACCCCGCAGAGAGGAAGGGTGGCAGCGGGCGTAACAAATCCCCGCCCCAGCCTGGCCCACTCCCGTGTCCCCCCGTTACTCTGCCATCAGCCATCTGGCCGTGCCATGGTTTGGAATCTCCTCTCCGGAGACCGGTCCAACCATGGCATAGCCCCTGCCGGCAGATTCACAGCCACCGCGCTTTATAGGAGGAAACATTTCCGTCAAAAACAAAATTAAGTCTAGTAGTTGAATTAATCACATTCCCCCAGTTCCTTTCAAAGAGGAAAACATTAGAACCACTGGAACAGAGAGGAAATGGTGCTTTCCACTGGCACGGCTGCCCGCAGGCTTTATCTGCATCTGGCTCTCCACAGGGCAGCAGGAGGGCTCCTGCCTCGCCTGGGGACCTGCGGCACTGCTGTGTAAACACCCCTTGCTTCCTTCATGGCCACAGTTAGCCGAGCACGGCGACACACCTGTAATCCCAGCACTCGGAAGGCTGAGGCAGGAGGGTCACCACAACTCCGAGGCCAGGCTGGGCTACACAGTGAGTTCCAAGGCCACCGGAAGTACAGTCTAGCAGTACAGTGTGCGCCTGGTCCAAGTGAGGCCCTGGGTTCAATCCCAGGAACGCTGGGGGAAAGGGTTCTGCGTTTTCTGTGTGTCATCATTATCGTTACATTCTATAAATCTGCCAGACCCATCCCTGCATGTTTTTCTATGTTTTTATACCGCAACCTTAAGAAATTTGTTCCAGAAAACCAGAAGCTTGTTCCGTTTCAAAGTTTATTTATCTGTTAATGACCTTTTCTCTTTTTGTTTTGTTTTTTTTTTTTTTTTTTTTTTTTGGTACCAGGAATCAAACTCAGGGCCTCACACTTCACCTTTTCATTCCCAAGAAATTCCTAAAGTCAAAGGTCAGTAAAAGGAGAGCACTGAAATGTGATTCATCTGATTGCTACAGGGCCAATAGCAACCCTGTCAAATCTTGTAAACGGGGATATGCAGTCCCCAAAGATGAAAGGGTTCCCATCAAGTGAGGTGTAGGGGTGCACACCTGTAATAACCAGCACCCAGGAAGCTGAGTCAGGAGGGTCTCTGTGAGTTTGTGGCCAGCCTGGGCTACCCAATGAGTTCAAGACCAGCCTGAAGTATACAATGAAACTCCTGTCTCAAAGCACGTGTGCTCCTGTGTCTGGGGATGCAGCTCAGAGGCACAGCACCTGCCTGGCAAGTGTAAGGCCTTGAGTTCGATTCCCAGTACCAAAAAACAAACAAAAAAATATGCTTCTGATTTTTTGGGGGTGGCACTAGGAATTGGACTTAGAGCCTCACACATGTGAGGCAAGTACTTTACCAATGAAACATGTTCCAGCCCTTTTTGATTTTTATTTTGAGTCAGGGTCTAACTAAATTGCCAAGGCTGGCCTTGAACTTGTGATCCTCCTGCTTCAGCCTCCTGAGTGGCTGGGATTACAGGTATATACCACTGCGCCTGGAGTATGCTTAATTTTAAAACTCAAACTTCTCATATATTTTGGTAGTGGACAAGACTAAATAGGCTTGAAAATTCAACTCATGGATCCTCTGGAGGCTTCAAACTCTGAACCAACTTAGCAGCGTTTCAAACACAGAGACCAGATAGTCCTGCTAAACTGAGGAATGCGGAAACAGTTACTCTCCGAGAGTCCACTGCAGTCTGAGAAACATTTTATTCAAAACCATGAAATTCCTTCATAAAACAAACCTCTAAAAGTCATTAGGTATGCAGGGTTACATTTAGTTAACCTAAGTCATACTCATTTGAAGTGGAAGTGAAATACTTTTCAGAGAAAACCACAAGCACTACATTAAATAGCACGGAAAAGGCTTCAGCTTCTATTCTGCCGTTACTATTCAAAGCAAAAAGAAAGAACAAGAAAAAGAGAGAGAAGACCTCGGCTGTCCTCATCTCCTTGGGGAAACACGTCCCTAAGGTCAACCCTGCACACCCCTTGCTGTTCATCGATCCCACTTGAAATTCCTGAGCTGTTCCCTCCAGTTCCCGCCCACAGTTTGCTCAAACAAGGTCTCCCAGCAATGCCCACGCCTCAGCGTGCACCCCCGGACACTCACGCCTGGCCCGGGGAGGCTTCCCCAGCTCCGGCCCAGGACCAGGCGGCTGGGTGCACCAGCCAGAGGTTTCCGGCTCGCCCTACTTCTTTGCAGATGAAGTGATTCATAATTTTCAGCCGATTCTTCCTACCTTCCCAACCTTAATTCTGAAGTCTATGAAAAAACAAAGGTCACCATGCTGTTTAAAAACACCTGGGGGAGAAAGCTTGGCAGAAATAACCAAGAGTAAAAATTTAAAAACTCTATGAATACACCCTCAAGGTTTTGCACCTCGACGCTGCCACCTGCCAGCGAGCAGTTACTCATCTCCGGGGTTCAGGCACAGACAGCGACCCTGGAGGACACAGCCAGCGCAGGGAGAGTCAGATTTTCCATGTGATCCCACATAAAGACCAAGGAGGGTACAGGACAACAAAAGAGAAGGGCGAAAGCACCCAATGGGGCTCAATCGCATGAAATGTGGGCAGAGCGGCTTCTGA